GCCACAGGCTGCAACACAGCCCCCAAGGCCGTGGTGATACGGACACTGCAGCCCTCCAAGCAGACCCACAGCCTGGAGAAGGGACTGGCTGAGCTTCATCCAAGCCAAATTCCTGCTAAATGACCACACAAGCTGCTGCAGAGCCCCGTTCACCCCACACAAGCTGCCTTTGCCGGAGGATGAATGGTGCTCGCTCAGCGCCTGCAGCAGGCTCTGAAACCGCTTTCCGCCCACGGGAACGAAGCTCTGAAGTTTTCAAGAAGGGAACGAGGCGTCCAGCCCCTTTCTGCATGCTCAGGAACATTGCCAAGATCCCTGTTCCCTGCTTCGGCAACCCATCTGCATTCCCCGTGCTGTGGGGGTATGTCCTGGCTGGCTGCAGAGACCCGCGGGGATGCTGTGGGGACAGGGGTCCTGGCTGTCATCCATCATGAGAGTGTTCAAGGCCAGGATGGACGGGGCTTTAAGCAAACAGGTCTAGTGGAAGGTGTCCCTGCCCACGGCAGGGGGCTGGAACAAGATGAACTTTAAGGTCCCTTCCAACGCAAACCATTCTTAGTTCTATGATTACTTCCTGCAAGCCAAAAACTTGGGCAAAGAAAGGAGCAGCATCACAGGGAAAGACCCTGCTTGTGCAAAATCCCCTGGCTGATGAGGAAATCTGCCAGCCTCCCAAGCAAATGGCAGCACACGAGCTCCCCTGAGTCGCAGGGAGCTGCCAGTGGGGACGGGCAGAACGAGCTCTAATTTTACACGCGCCTAGTCAAGGATTTCAGCATTAAAGGTTCCCACAGCAACAGTAACTTAGCCACATGTGAATTAACTTGAGAGCCATAATCCATACTCAGGCATCCATAATACAGGATTTGCCATTGAGAGGACTTGGGGCCAAAACCTGCTCTGCTCCTCTGGAGCTTGGGAAATGGCAAAACACCTAAACCAAGACGGGAGCGGCTGGGGACGGAGGTGATGGTGCGAGGAGAGAGGGTTGCAACCCATGAGGATGCTGCTGAGTGGAAAAATATCTGTCTGCTGGGGAACCCCTGCCTGTGGGGGAGCCATCTGGGGCACGTTTGGGGCAATGCTCCTCACTTCTCTCTTCCCCACATCCCGTGCTCTGACCAAGGACAGAAAAGGCAGCAAGGCCCAGATGGTGCCTCACTGTGCAGGAAGGCAACACCCAAGCCAGTTTTTCCCCGCCCCGGGTGTTTGCTGGCTCGGGGCACCCCAGCATCGTGACTGCCTCTGAGAACAGAGCCCACAGTGTCATTTCCCCATCACCCAGGCCTGGGGCCACTTCCTCCCCTGCAATCACAGGGCTGTGAGCTGGCAGCCCAGCGCCACAACCACAGCGGTTCCTCTGCGCCAGCCTATGCCCAGCATCCACGGCCACCACAGCTGGCACTGCCCTCTCCGCTCCCCAAAATTCTCCACCCCTGGTTCGTCTCCTCTGTGGGCTCCTGTGCACCCTGAGGACTGCACATGCCACCTCTGGGGACACCCATGCCCAGGCTCTGAGTATCCATTGGATACGTTAAGCCAGACAGCCCAAAGCTACCAACCATCAGGGTTGCGTCTCCCAGATGGAGAGGGAGAGTGACCATCAGCTTTCCTCAAGCCTGGAAGAGTGTGGCAGGTCCCGGGAATGATACCAGCTCAGGCCCTCTTGCACTCACTGGGGCAAAGTCCAGGGTGATTAGAGGAGCACATCAAGGGAAAGCTGCACAGGGAGCAGCTCCAGGGAGACGTTTGAGAGAAGAAAATAAGAGCCAGGGAAGGGAATTGTCTCTCTGATCTTCTGCAGGTAGGAGGGACGCACTCAGCAGCTGGAGGTGGCACAGCTACAGCAGAGGGCTGTATTTTTAAGCTTACAACGCCCTTTAATTCATTCCTCGCGATGCTTCAGGACTCCCTTGCGAGAAGGCAAGGAAGGAGAGGACTGTGAGGTCCACGATGATGCTTGGGACGGGCAGAGGCCAGCTGGTGGCCAAAGCTGTAGCTGTCCCCTGTATACCGAGTGCTGCTGCAAGTCCCTGGCTGCTCGAAGACTCCCCTGCCTACTCTGAACCCACTGGTTCCAAACTAAGAGGGTGCTCGCACCCCCACCACGGGGGCTGTGCCCACAGCGGGGTCCCCGAGGAGGAAACCTGCCTCAAGGTCACGGTCTCGTCCCCTGGGCCCAGCACTGCAGGCAGGGGCACTGCGGGGGACCAGCCCCTGGGGACCCTGTTTGGCACCCACGCGCGGGCGTCCCCTCCCCAGCGCCCCGGGTGCTGGTGGGGGAGCCCAGCCCTGCGCAGCTCACACACATCCTCCTTGCGCCTTCCCACACAGGCTCTGGCGGCGGAGCCTCCCCCGGCTGCGCGGTCCTGTGCTGGGGAGCACGAGAGCCCGAGGCCACGCCGGTCCCTGGTGACCCGCTGGAGGGGACTGCAGGCACGGACCCGTCCGCAGCCTGCTGGGGACACGTTCTGCCCGACACTGGCAGCACCAAGCCCTTACCGGGGCTGGGGCGGGGTGGGGGGGGATCAATGGCTTCCAGACCTGCCAATGGCATGTGCCGTTCCAGCCTTTGGGAACACGGGACATCCTTTGGGGCGTCTCTTCCCTCCTCTGCGCCCACCCGCCCATCCATTGCAGGGAAAACAGCCTCTGGCCCCGACCTCGTCCTTCGGGCGGTACCTTCGCCCCGTCCCCGCGCATCACCCCACAGCAGGGCACGGGGGATGCGGCGCGGCGTGGGGCGGTCCCCGACCCCCGCGGCCCCGCTGGGGGTGGTGACCAGCCGGCTTTGCCCCCATGACCCATGACCCGGTATGCGGTGACACGTCTCGTTTCGGGTGCCCCCGGGCCCGCCGGCGATGCCGCATATCCCCCCCGCCTTCCCTGGGGGCCGAGCACGGGGGACCGGAGCGCGGAGAGACACGGGGACACTCACCGATCTTGGCCAGGCTGGCCACCAGGATCCAGGCGGCCACCAGGCAGGGCGCCTGCACCTCCTGCCACTGCCACCGCAGCAGCTCAGCTCCCGCCGGGGCGGCGGGGCCGGGGGAGGCCGCCGGGGGCTGCATGACCCCGCCGCTCCCGCCGCTCCCCGCCGCTCCGCTCCGCCGCGGTCCCGGTCCCGGCCCCCGCCCGCGTCACACGCACGTGGGGCCGCGCCGGGACGGCCCCCGCGCCACGGGCCCCGCCCCGACCGGGACCGGCCCCGCCCGCCCCGCACCCCCGGTACTGCCCCCGGTACTGTCCCGGGGCCTGCGCACGGCCCCGGACCCCCCCGTACTCCCCCCCGGTACTGCCCCAGCGCCCACCACCTCCCCCAGACCCCCCCTCCCCCCCCCTCACCCCTTGTCCCCCCCTCCATCCCAGCTCACCTGCACCCTCCTGGAGCCCCCCGCCCCGTGCTAGTCCCCTTGGCCCATGCCAGCCCCCCGCCCCTGTCTCAGTCCTCCCTGCAACTGCCCCAGTGCCACCTGCATTATCCAGGTGCTCCCACGCTGCCCCCTACCCCATGCCAACCCCCTGGCATCTGCCCAGTGCCCTTTGCATCACCTTGGTCTCCTGTGCCCTCCCCCAGTGTCCTTGCCCTGTCTGAGTCCGCCCACGCTCGCTTGCTGCACCCACCAAATTCCCACTCTCCCCACACACCTGAACCCACTCCCAGCCAGCTCCTTCCCAGCTGAGACCACCCACCCCTGCCCCAGACACTGCCTGAGCACCAGCCTGAGAGCACTCAGGGGGGCACCCAAGATTCCTTCTTAGGGGTGGCAGGGCATGGGCACCTCTGGATGCTGAGTGCCCGGCTGAGCCCCCTGCCTGGGGGGAAACGAGCTGCAGGACACTTCCCTGGCAGCCTTGGTGCCAGCACCTCTTCCCATCTCTCTGCTCGGGCACAAATGTGCTGCAAAGGTTTGCCAGTTGAAGCCAACAGCTGGGGCGTGGAGGCTGGAGCCTGGAGCCAGGGGAAAGCTCCCTGCCCACCACTCCATCACATCTGACCATCGTCACTGCTTGGGTAATCTGTCAAAAAGAAAGTAAAATGGTTTTTGCACAAGCTTTGCCTTGTGGGATTGTGCAACTTGAGACCATTTTCCTTTGTGCTGTCTCTTGTTACCTGGGAGAAGAGCCCAACCCCCACCTTGCCACAACCTCCTTTCAGGGACTCCAGGCAGTTGTAGACTAATGTTGACTCCAAGAGCAATGACACCTTCTCACGTCCCCAGTCCCATCCCTGGTGCATCCATGTTTCCCTCCTGGGTCTCCCCAGGGGTCCTGGCTCTCCTTTGCATCCTCATTTCCCAGCCTGCAATAGCCTTGGCAATTAACACAACATCGTTAGCATTGACACCTTGGATGTATAAACACCCTCGTTAGCATCAACACAGTCCGTGGAGGCCCCGAGCTGCCCTTGCTTCCAGGGTGGCACCACGGCCCCCATGACTGCGGGCAGCTCATCCCGTGCCAGTTCCTCCCTGCCCCGGGATGGGGAGGTGCAGCCCAGGCACCCACCCGTGCTCCAGTTCACCCGGGACAAGCAGCCCTACCTGGCCCTCCGGGGCAGCCCGGAGCTCCCAGGGCCTGGAGCATCCCAGCGGAGCCCTCCAGTGCCTGGAGCTCCCAGGGCCTGGAGCATCCCAGTGGAGCCCTCCAGTGCCTGGAGCTCCCAGGGCCTGGAGCATCCCAGTGGAGCCCTCCAGTGCCTGGAGCACCCCTGACGCCGGAGCATCCCGGGGACTGAAGCATCCCCCAGCCCGGAGCACCCCTGATGCCGGAGCATCCCGGGGACTGAAGCATCCCTCAGCCTGGAGCATCCCCCAGCCCGGAGCATCCCTGATGCCGGAGCATCCCGGCGGAGCCCCGCAGACGCTGGAGCAACCCGAGGCCTGGAGCATCCCGGCGGGATGCCCGCGGGAGGGCGCGCCGAGCGCCGCTGCAGCTCCCGGGACGGGGCGGGCCCGAGGGGCCGGGCCGAGGGCCGTGCCCGCCCCGCCGTCCCCGGCAGCGGCGGCGCTCGGGGCCGCGGCGGCGGCGGGGCCGTGGCCATGGGGGAGCCGGCGGAGGCGGCGGAGGCGACGGTGCCGTGCCGGGTGCAGTACCTGGAGGATGCGGATCCCTTCGGCTGCGGCAGCTTCCCGGAGCCCCGGCGAGCCCCGGTTTATGCCGTGGAGGAGGCGCTGGCCCTCGGGGCGCAGCTGCCCGCGCTGCATCGCCTGCTCGGGGCCCCGCTGCCGGTGAGGGGGAGCGGGGGGCGCTGGGGAAGGCACTGGGCAGGTATCGGACGGGGGACGGAGTGGGGATTGCCGGCCAGAGGGGGCCGGGGAGGCGAGGGATGGGGCGGTAAATCCCGGGCAGCGGTCCCGGTGTGAGTCACGGCGAGATGCCGGAGCCCCCGCGGGAGATGCCAGCTCTCGGCCTGCCCCGGATGAGTCGGCAAGGAGGAAGAGGTTGTGCTTGCTCAGAGCAGGCAGGAACCCAGGCAGGGGGAGGCAAGCGTCCAACCCCCTGTCGTCGGGGCAGAGCCGGGCAGCGTGCTCCCACCCCGGCATCCCAGTTCCACGCCGGCTGCCAGGAGCGGAGCTGAACCTCGACGGGAGCACACCGGCTCCCTAACCCCGGGGACCTGTCCAGTGTCCCTGCTCCCTGGGGCAGCTGGGGCTTGGGGAGGTGACGGTGGGGCCGGAGAGGCTCCTCATCAGCCCCTCTTCAGCCCCTCGTCTCTCCCCGATCCGGCGGCAGCTTTGCCGCCAGAGAGCAGCGCGGAAATTCGTGCTGAGCAATTTCCTCCAGCCGGGAGAAAGGCAGAAGGACGAAGGTGAAGCGAGGCATTGTGTCTTGCTTGTGTGTCCTCAGGCCTGACTCAGACTGCTAAAAGGGGACTGGGAAGTGGAGGAGACAGGGAAGACGGGGGACCTTCCCTGTTGGCGTGATGCATCCTTCACAGGATGGGGACAGGCTTGTTTTCCTCCTTAGGAACACGAGACCCAGCAGAGCTTTGGCAATAGCTGAGCATCTGTCTCGCAGCACTGCAGGAGAGCAGGGAAGGGAGGCAGGAACCCAGGCAGGAACCCAGACTGTCTGGGGGAGTGTGGATTCGGAGCAGAGATGGGACAGCAGGAGGGGGAAATCAGCTTGGTGTGCCTGGCACTGAGCTTGCTGGCCTGTCAGGGGAGAGTGGATCGCTGTGAGACCTTTGTCTGCAGCAAAAAAATTCCCCTTTATCCTTCTTTTAATTTTCCTTGGAGCAAAGCAGCAGCGTCTCATGTCGCCGTCATGGGATTTTAAGGCGATTTTTAGGCGGTGACTAAACGGAGTTTGTTTGGGAACAAACAGCCCTGGGACATGACGAATGGAGCAAACTCAAATTTCAGGCGTGTGCTCTGCTCCCCGGGCAGGAGTTGGCTGTAATGGGATCGGAGTGCTGCCATGGTGGCACGGGGAGGGGACTGGACGCAGGGTTGCCGAGGGCAGGAGCCTTGCAGGGAGGTCCTGAGCCCAGCAGAGGTGTGTTGATCCTGGGATTTCAGGTTCTGTTCTCTGCCTAAGCCAAGCTTTGGATGTTTTTTTCCTGTGGTTTCCTTGCATCGCCCCGTGACCCTTGGTGACATCACAGGTGAGCTGGTAGGACCCTGTGCTGGGTTTCTAAACCAGATTCCTGAGTTACATAGATTCTATAGGTTATAAACCATGCTGCCTTTACCACACAAAGCTTTCTGAGCCAGCGAGGGCTGCAGTAGACAGGCTGGGATGCTGGCTGGGGATTGCGTGAGCTGATGTCTTCACTGGGAGCCTCCTGCAGCAGGATTTACACCCTGTGGAGTGAGGTCAGTCTCCTGGAAGCACCCACTTAAGTCCAAATTCAGAGTTACCCTGGCACGACCAGCTGAAACCTCCCCTGGTGCCCTTTGTGCCAGGTAGTGCTCAGCTCCATTAGTCGCCACCCTAAAATTAGTAAATGAACAGTTGGATTTTTCCCAAGGAACTGGCTGAAAAAAAATTCAGCTGGGGATGCCTGGTGCCAGGTTTGTCCTGCTGGGCAGTGTGCCTGGACCTGCAGAGCACCAGGAAGAGGGTGAAGCAGCTGGGAGGGAGCTGAGCTGGGGGTCCCCATAGCGTCGTCATTGGATCGAGCTGCAGGCACCCAGGGGATGAGGGAGCAGCTGGGTCCTGCCCTCCCTGGGCACGGCAGAGCTGCACCCTGTGCTGGGAGCAGCCTAGAGATGATGAGCAAGGGGTTTGAACAGCCTGTCCTGCCCCATGACACCCTCGGTGCTTCCTCTCCCTGAGCACGACCCGTCTCTGATGACTTTTTCATGTTCTCCGGAAAGTGTGTTTGTGCTTGGAAATACCTTCCAGCTTTGTTTGCTGCTGCTGCATTGTTTGCCTCCAGGCCGATACTATCTTCTCCTGCTTTCCAGCATTTTTCAGTACCCTTGGGTGATGCTTGTGCGGGGTGTGGGTGTTTTCTGAGCCTCCACAAGCAGGTTTTGACAGGGCAGATTTTTTTGGCCGTCCTTTCAGTCCCCAAAGGCCGCTGTACTCCCTTGCCCCCCAGCACTATCTCACCTCTGAATCTGGGGATTTTTCCAAACAATTGCAAAACCCAAGAGGCTGGAGTTTTGCTTTCTCCTTCCTCCCCCGGAAACCTGGGAAGAGCAAACAGCTCACTGGCCTCTGTGCCATAAGCTCACTGAGAGCTCTTGTGCACCATAGAGGAGCTGCTGGGGTGACCTCGGTGCGTGTGTGAAGTGCACAAGCTCCATCCCACAGCCCCATTGCCCTCTGTTTCCTACGGAGCTTGGGGGGGTCTTTGCCCCACTTAACCTCTGGAAGGCACAAAAGCATGAGGTGGGGTCCTCAGTGTCACTGCTGTCCCCCAGTTTGTTGCACACTTGGAGCCAAGTGTTGGTGCTCAGCAGCCCCTGGTGCTCCCCAGCTCCCAGCACCCTCCTTGCACGGATCCCGGGGTGGGAGCTGCAGCCAGGCATTCGTGCCATGGTTTTGCCAGGACACCACCAGCTGCTCCCCAGGACTGGGGTCCTCAAAGCTGCTGCAGGTCTGTTGATGAGTAATGAGGGATCTGTTAATGAGCAATGAGCCTGGCTGGAGTAGCTTCAAGAGGGACACAAGTGTGAAGTGCTGGGCCAACTCTGGGTGACCTCCAGAGTTCCCTCCTGGCTTGGGTATTATTCCCCACCCCCGGTGATAGGGCAGTGGCAGTGTTCCCATCCACTTGCTGCCATCCATCATGCAGGGATGGACAGGAGGCAGCACCTGAGTGCCCTGGCAGTAGACACCCCTCTTAGCCTTGAAACCAAATCGTGGTGAATGTGCTTGGTTGGGGTGGGGGTTGCTCCTGTGGTGCAGCTCTATAAACCCTCAGTCCCTGTGTGTTTTGGGAGGGTGAGCAGAGGCTGGTGATGCCAGGGGTTTCTGACCTGCTGGTGCCTTGTGTTTAACTGCTGCCTATGTTTATTTATTCTGTATTATATAAATAAACTGTTTTTTTCTGTCATTTCCCCATAGCCTTTCTAGAAGAGCTGCAGCAATGCTGGGAAATTGTGGTTGCCGCAACAAGAAAGTGTTAGAAAGCGAGTAAAAGTGTTTCCTTTGTTGGCAGATAAACAGGATATTCACTGCCTGGCCTTGGAGCATCTTCCCGTGTGGGGATGCCATGATAGGAGTGAGCAGGAAGATGTGATGCTGTGGTGGGTGGTGTGAGTTCAGCTGTGAGTGGAGGATGTCTCCATATTGGAGGTGGAGATGTCTCCATCACACCCCCATAGAATCCTGGAATGGTTTGGGTTGAAAAGGTCCTTAAAGGGATCATCTACTTCCATCCCCCTGCAGTGGGCAGGGACCTTCCACTAGACCATGTTGCTCCAAGTCCCATCCAATCTGGCCTTGAACACTTCCAGGGATGGGGCTTTCAACAGAGGAACCTTTTCTGGGTCATGGCGTCAGGGCTGGCACCAGCATCTTGTCCTCAGCAAGACCCCAGTCCGGTGGGTGAGGCACATCCATGCTTCTGCAGGATGGCTGGGACTCCCAGGAGCTGTGGGCTGGATGTGTGAGCGTGGGACTCTCTCCTCTCCCAGCTCTGCCTTGCCCTCAAGTCCCCATTGCCCTCAAATCCTGGCTCATTTTATAACGGTTTTCCAGGCAGGAGGCAGATGGATCAGAGCCACCCTCACTGGGAGCTGTCAGCAACCCGTGACCCCAACGTGCCGTCCCCAGCAGCGCGACCCTGTGGTCCCAGCCCGGATCCTGCAGGGCATAAACCCCTGGTCTGGATAACCAGAGTGACCCCGGGGCAGTCGGTGCTCCCGGGCGCAGAAGTGCCGCCCATGATTTTTGGCAGGGGCAGCAGGAGCCTGGGACGGCCTGTCTCCATCCCCAGGGGATGGTGTTTGCCAGGGGGGGTCACAGCCAAACCCAGGCCCAGCGCTTGGAGCATCCCTAGTGGGAAGCATTGCCAAGCTCACACGGGAAATGTGCGGGGTCGGGTCCCAGGGGCTTGGCCTCCCCCTCCAGCTGGGACTTGTCAGGAGCTGGGGATGTTAACTGGGCTTACTGGCAGCCCAGAGAAGGCAAAGCTTTTGTGCTGGAGCTGACTTGCTCTTTGCTGTGTTTGAGTGCCTGGGTGGATGCGGGGATGCCTAAGAGGATGCCCAAGAGGATTCAGGGATGCCAGTGGGGATGCCAGGATGCTTGTGGGGATACAGGGGTGGCTGGGAGGATGCAGGAGTGGCCAGAAGGATGCAGGGATGGCTGCAAGGACACCCAGGAGGATGCCGGATTGCCTGGGCAGCTGCAAGGATGCCTGGGTGGATCCAGGGATGCCCCGGGATGCAGGAGAGCCTGTCCCTGTGGAGGAACTGAAGTTTTCCCCAGCGAGCAAATCCTGTGTGGGGTCACTGTGAGGCAGCCAGGAGCACCTGCCCGGTGCCAGCAGGTGTTTGTGCACGTTGCCATGGCTGGCTGGAGTGGCTGGTGACCATGGGAGGTGGAGCAGGATCCTGAACAACATCAGAGCCCAGCCCAACAGGGCCCTGCCAAATTGCCCGTTATCCCAGGGCGTGGTCAGCATTAGTTACTCTGCATGTGGCATTTTTACTTTGCCCTCTGCCATTAACGTCACACTCGCAGTGAATTCATACCTGTGAGCTCTTGCACAGTCCTGGGTCTTCAGGAGATGGGAATGTCATGGAAAGAAACCCCCGTGAGGTGCAGGAGCCATACCCAGCATTGCTGGGGGTGTCTGGGATCACAGTGGGGAAAGGCATCGGTGGGAAAGACAGAGGAGCTGTGACTGTTTCCATCTGAGCTCCTCAGCCACAGGGCTGTGCTTGGAGCTTTTTGCAATTTGAAGCTGAAATTGGAGTGGGCTTTTAGATGGATGGTGGGTCCCTACTTCTCTCCCCCATTGCTGTTTGTGTCGCTTGCTTTTTTTTTGCAGCAGGAGCAGCATTAATAATGGGGTTTTATCCCCAGACAGCTCCTGCTCTGCAGATCTGTTCCTCAGAGGTGGGGTGGGAAGGGCAGGGGGGTTTGCAAATGCTTTAGGAACAGGTCGAGATGTGCTGGGGAGGCAGTGCTGGCACTGCCCTCTCTCTGCTCCTACTCATCCACCGAGGGCAAATTGCCCTGTCCCAGGAGACCTGCCTGGGTGCTGTGGGGTGCTGCTGGCTCCCAGGTGGCTCAGGGGCTTTGTGGGTGCTGTGCCCACTGGCAGGGGTGTGCCCTGGGTGCTGTAAGTGGACTTTCTGGGAAGATTCCCCTACCCCAGCCTTGCCTCGGGCCGTGCTTTTCCCCATCCCAGTGAAAGATGCCACGTGGCTGTGGGCTGAGTCAGAGGGTGTGTCAGCCAGGGGCCCTCTCTGTGGGGCTCACCCTGGTTTGGGGTGTCCCTGGCTGGGCTGGGTGCCTTGGCAGACCCAGTTCCTGCAGGCGGAGGCGATTCCTCAGCCCTGGAAGGAGGTGGATCCTGCCCCAGTCACACCCCTGCTGACTAAGGGGAGCCCCAGGGAGCAGATGAAGCTTCTTGCCGTGGTTCCCACCTAAGGGATTGCCAAGGAGCCCCACAGCAGTGCGACCACCATTCCTCAGGCTTTCCCAGCCTGGGGCTCCATGTTTCTCCCCAGTTAGCACTGGGCTGAGGTGAAGGATGCTGGGGCATCTCCCTGCGTGGCCAACACGAGGACAGGTGGGATCTGCCACCCTGTTCCAAGATGTGTCTGCCTCCTGGGTTCAGTGCAGGCAGGAGGGTGACCTGGGAATGCTCTGGGAACCAGGAATGTTGTGGTGGGCCCAGAGGCTCATCCTGTCTGTCTGCATCCCCAGCTGGAGGACTGCACGCTGCAGGTCTCACCCTCCGGACACTACCTGGACCTTGACTTGTCCCTGCTGGAGCAGAAGGATGATCTGGAGGGTTTCTACGAGGAGGTCAGGTGAGGCACGTGGGGTGCCTGAGCCCTCTGGGGACAGGACACGGGGGTCCCGTGTGTGTATGAAGACCATGGGCAGGGGGGCAGGGGCTGGGGTGGTCCCACTGCAGGCGCTCACACCTCATTCTCCTCTGCCCTAGGAAGGGGAGACGGCCGACCCTGATCCTGCGCACGCAGCTCTCCGTCCGAGTCCACGCCATCATCGGTGAGTGGGGGCTGCTCCCTCCTCCAGGCTGGTGCGTGTCCAGGGGCTCATCCACCCCAGATGGTGGGGGTTTGGCCCCTGTGGTGAGTTTTGGCCAGGCTTTTTGTGATGGAGAGAGGGAGCGATACAGCCCAGGGCTGCTCCCGCCCCATAAGCCCTCCCAAAGACCAGGGCACGTGGTCCCCATGGGGTTCCCACTGGGTCAATCCCCTCCATCCTCAGAGATCGGGACTTTTGCCTCTTGGGCTGGGAGCCCACCGCCCACTGCAGTTATTCTGGGTCATCCAGGCAAGCTCTAAATATAGCTTTGCAGGAGACAAACAAACAGCTCTTGCGCAGCAGAAAGTGCTGCCATGGTTTCGGGCAGCCTGCTCCGAGGTCCTGCAAAATATTCGGGAGTCTCAAGCCTCTTTTTAATCTTTAACAGGGGGGAAAACAAGCACTGAGCAGAGCGATGCCAGATGGGCATCAGCTGGCTGTGCAGGGCTGCAGCTGGGCCATGCGGGAAGGGACAGGAAGCCCGGGGTTGGGGTCATGGCCATGCTCTTTACCAGCAGTTCCCAGGCTCTGTCTGAGCTCTGGGCTCTTCTGCTTTCCCTCCTGGCTGCTCTGCCTTCCCTCTCAGCTGCTCTGACAAGCCGATAGCAGAGCGGAGGAGGCTGCTGGGACATCGTGTTTTACAGGGCATGTCTGGAGGCCTCCTTGGACATCTTGTTTTTGGCTTGTTACAGCTCTAAGCCTGACCCAAATAAGTTGGGATGCTTGGCTAACTCAGTTTTTGGATGTGGGAAGTGCTGACTCACGGTGGCTTTGGTGTCCTCATGGGGCTTTCCAGCTTCCCGTTGCCCCAGCTGGTCAGTGCCGGCTCCTGCCTGCAGGCACCATCCCCATAAGCACATAGTCTCCAGCCCAGTTACAGTCCTGTCCCCAAGCAGCCAGTGTCACATTGCCATCCTTCCCAACCCCATCCTGCAGTTTTTCCCAAGCCACGGGGCTCTGGGACCATGGCACAGCTATGCCTGGGGAGGGACAGCTAAAAGTAGCTCAGGCTTCTGCCAGAGTTCCTGTTTAGGTTGTGCACAGGAAACCAGAGGGGATATTTGTGTCATTGCTGGCCAGAAGAAAAGAAAAAAAAGGAAATGGGAAAGTGGCAGGGCTAAAATATGTAGTTGTGGAGCAGCAGCTGATTCCACACAGTGTCCCACGGTTGGGGGCAATGCTGGCGGCCTGGGGCGATGGCACAGGGGTTGAGTCAGGATGTGGGGCTTTCCCAGGAAGCTGGGAGCATTTGGCAGCCCCAGTACAACAGTGAGCCCCTGTGGGGTCAGGCCCTCAGGCCACATCTCTCCTTCCCTCCCAGAGAAGCTGTACAACTCGCAGGGGCCGGAGCTGCGGCGATCCCTCTTCTCCCTGAAGCAGCTCTTCCAGGTACGGGGATGGTGGTAGGGAGGGGCTGAGGGCCTCCCCCAGGGCTGGCTGCCCACCCCTCACTGGGGTAACACCTCCTTTGCCCTGCAGGAGGACAAGGACCTGGTGCCCGAGTTTGTGAACCTGGATGGGTTGACGTGCCTGATCAAAGTGGGGGCAGAGGCCGACCAGAACTACCAGAATTACATCCTCCGGGGTTGGTATTTGGGCCCAGGGCACCTCTGGAGCAGGGCTGCCTAAAGAAGCTGTGAATGCTTCATCCCTGGAAGTGTTCAAGGCCAGGTTGGATGGGGCTTTGATGCAACTTGGTCTAATGGAAGGTGTTCTTGCCCATGGCACAGGGGTTGGAACGAGATGGTCTTCAAGGTCCCTTCCAACCCAAACCATTCTGGGATTCTATGCTCATCCCCAAGGAGGAGGGGCTGACACCCAGAGGGAGAGAACCAGCAAGTTTGCCAGGGCTTTGTCTTCACAGCTGCCAGACATTGCCTTGGCAATGCTGTGCAGGGATGGGAATGCCCAACCCCTGCCTGCCATGCCATCAGCCTGCCCACTCTCTGCCTTGCAGCCTTGAGCCAGATCATGCTCTTCGTGGACGGGATGCAGGGTGTCATCAACCACAACGAGACCGTCCAGTGGCTGTACACGCTGTCGGGAAGCCCAGTAAGTTCTGTTCCTCCTGGTGGGCTGCCTGTGCCCCCCGCTGCACCCCCTTCCCTGCCTGTGGCTGTCCCCTTGCATCATCCCTCAGAGGGTGTGCTCCACTTCTGCTCAATGGCCTGGTACCTTTACTTGTGTTGGGTCCTGCTCCCATCCTTCTGGAAATCACCTGGTGTCCACAGAGCTCCCTGTCCTGATGTGACCATGTTCCCAGGCACAGAGCTTGGGTTAGATGGTCCTGCTCCAGGTCTGGAGCCAGTGCCCCTTGGCCATCAGCATCACAGCTGCAGGTCCCTGGCCCCATGAACAAAACCCCCAGTCCTGGGGCGTGGGCACAGCCACCGCAGCATCCTGCTGGCAGCCCCTGCCACTGCTGCTGTCCCAGCTGCCATCCCTTGTCCCAGTTTCGCCTGGTGGTGAAGATGGCACTGAAGCTGCTCCTGGTGTTTGTGGAGTACACAGAGCCCAATGCCCTGCTCCTCATCCGCGCCGTCAATGCCGTGGACCAGGCGAGAGGTGGGTGCAGCCCCAGCCTCCCCCAGGGTCCCCGCCAGGGGATGGGGTCCCTCCTGGCCCGCGTTTCACCTGCGCTTGCCACCTTTCCCAGGTGCCTGTCCGTGGTCCAACCTGATGGCCATCCTGAAGCAACGCCACGGGGCTGACACGGAGCTGCTGGTGTTCACCATGACACTCATCAACAAGGTCTGGGGGGGTGTCCCCGCGGTGCTGTGCTGGTGGGGCTTGGGGTGGGTCACCCCGGTCCCAGCAGCATCCCTCTGGTCCTGCTCAGACGCTGGCAGCCCTCCCGGACCAGGACACCTTCTATGACGTGACTGACTGCCTGGAGCAGCAGGGCATGGAGCAGGTGGTGCAGGAGTACCTGGGCAGCAAGGGCACCGACCTCGACTTGAAGCAGCAATTCACACTCTACGAAGTGAGTGGGGCACCTGCAGGATCTGGCCACGGTGCCACGTCCAGTGTCAGCAGGGGGGGTGTGCAGGGGGTGGCAGGGGTGCTGCTGTGCCCAGTGCCATGCCCCACGCTCCCTCCACAGAGTGCTCTCAAGCTGGAGGATGGCGTGGAAGAGCCGCCCTCAGGGGGACGCAAGGAGAGGAGGAGGACAGACGAGGGCCGGCGTGGGTGGCGGTCCCAGGGCGGCTGCCCAGAGCCCAGTGCTGATGCCCAGTCCCTTCTGGAGTCCCCTGGCACTCCAAAGGAGCCCCCAGCCATGGACACCCCAGATATCCCCTCACCGAGCAGCCCAGCAGAGTAAGTGTGGCTGGAGGTGGTCCGTGGTGGGGATGCCTCTGGAATGGTGCAGACACTGGGGTGCAGCATAAGCAGCAGTGGGATCCACACCAGTGCCAGGGTGGAGGGCAGTCCTGTGGGACTTGCTCTCAGTCCCTGTCACCTCTTGTTCCAGACCCTGTCCCAGCAGCACCTACAGCAGCGCGTCCAGCGTGCGGCTGGCCCTGGCCTCGCCCCCGGCCGAGAAGGAGCAGCCCCCGGGCCCAGGAGAGCGCAGTGTTTACAAGTAAGGAGCCAGGAGGGGCTGGGGGCGTGGGGGTCCCCTGGGGTGGCAAGATGGGTTCCCAGGAGCATGAGGTGTGCCTATCTATCCCAGGGCACAATCTGCCTGTCCCAGGGGGAAACAGAGTCTGGGAGGGCACTGGGGCTGGAGAGATATGTGATGGGGCAGCAGGTATCAGAGGGTCTGGACAGGGGCTCCAGGGCATCCTTTGGGCACTCACAGCTCTGCTCCAGCTCCTCCTCATTCTCCTCTCTGCCCACGCTTGCCCTCTCCTCTGCCCACTCTTTCTATCTTTCCTTTTGCAGGCTGCGCCAAACTGCCCCTGTCTGGTAAGTGCCTGGGCTCTGCACCCGCGTGCTCCCTCCCAGCATGTCACAGAATCATTGCATCCTGGAATGGGTTGGGTTGGAAGGGACCCTAAAGATCACCTAGTTCTAACACCCTGTCATAGGCAGAGACACCTTCCAGGGATGGGGCACCCACAGCTTCTCTGGGCAACCTGTGCCAGGGCCTCACCACCCTCACAGGGTAGAATTTCTTCCTAATATCCAATTTAAACCTACTCTCTTTCAGTTTAAAGACATTCTCCCTCGTCCTATTAATTCTCCCTTGTCCTATCCCATGATGTTCTGGGGGGAGCAGGGACTTGCACCCCCCTGGCTGCCCCCATCCCGCTGCCCCCATCATCAGCATCTCCCAAGGGATGATGGCACCCTCTGATCCCCACTTTGGGGTGAGGTGTCCCTGCTGGGGGTGGCACAGCCTGCTCGAGGTGTCCTGGCCAGGTGGGGGAGATGGTGTCCCATCTCACCAGCAGCCAGTGCCACGGGATACCTGGGCAGGAGGGGGTTTGCCAGGGCTCTCCCAGCTCCCCATGAACCCTGGGGCCGCAGGGTGACGGCAGGGTGAGGGTCCCGTGCTGGAGGGCTGCCAGGTGGGTGTGTGCAGTACACACGAGCCCCGTGGGGCTGCCAGCAGCAGGGGCTAACCCCTGTTTTCCCTCAGGCGGGAGGATGCCCCCTCCTTGCATGGGGACAAGCCTATTTTGAGGAGGTTTGAGTAAGTAGAGGCATGCGTGTGTCTCCAGGCATGCGCTTCCTCAGGCGGTGCCCGGCTGGAGGTGTCTGAGCTCTGGCCACAAAGGGCATGAGGAGCAGGAGGGTCCCCTTGAGTCTCTACCTGGGCGCCCTCCTGAGTTTTGCAGCTTTTGGATGAGGGTTGCAGCGGGCAGCAGGTCTGTTGGGACCAACTGGTGACAGTGGCACCCTGATGGCACAAGCCTTTGGCTCCCTTGGGGCCTTGTCCCCGAGCCCTGGAGACAAGACCTGTCTCTCTGCAGGGCTCAAAGGAGGTTCCATCCTCCGGGTCCCTGATGTGGTGTGGCCAGTGCAGGGGGTTTCTGTGCTGCAGGGCTGGCTGTGCAGTGTGGCATGGCGTGGTGTGCCCATTGTCCCCATCCCTGCTTTGCTCCCAGCCAACGCCCACCCCTGTCTTGCAGAGCTCGCTTTTTGGAGAACCTGGCCGCAGCCCAGAAGGAGAAGATCTCTTCCATGGCCAAGGGGCGGCTCGACGTCCTCGGCGATGCTGCACTGGATCATCCTACTGCTCCTGCGTGGGAAAGAGACAGCGGCACCTCTGATTCCGGGACGGAGCCACCCAGCATAAGTAAGTGCTGCCAGGGTGTGTGTTCCCAGCTCATCAGGGCCCCTGGAGTGGGGGTTAGTGGCCCCTCTGTCCCTATCCCACAGCTGTGATGCCCAGAGCCATGGAGGAGCTGGTGGTACCTCCTTGCTCAAAACACTGGCATCCGAGCACACCCCAGCAGGGAGCAGGACCCCAGCTCCACGTGGAGCTCAGCACTACCTGCTCCCTCCAAGCGTGTTGTCCCAGCTTCTCCCTCTCTCCCTGCAGGGTCTCGCCTGGCTCGGTCTGATGCCACCGACTCCTGCAGCACCATCTCCTCTGACACCAAGTTTATGCTGGACATGCTCTATGCCAAGGGCTCCTCAGAGCCGGGGAGGGAGAAGGTGTTCCCTGAGGTCCCTTCATCCCCCCGGATCCAGGGTGAGGCAGAGATGGATGCCAAGGGAGGTAGCAGCCAGGAGCAGGAGAGTGCCTGGCTCCGTGGCAGGGCTCCAGATGGGCCAGTGGCCAGTGCCCACGCCAAGCTGGTACGTGCCGTGTCCAGCATAGATGCGGAGACCCACACACAGAAGCTGGAGAACACCGGGATGATGCCCATCAAGAAGGACATGGAGCTGACATGGGAGCGCCTGGAGGCCAGCCCCGTGCAGCTGAAGATCAAGGACCTGGACTTCACTGATTTGGGGGAGGAAGAAGATTTTGACATCCTGGACACAGGGCCAATGGCCAATGGCTCCTTCCTCCATTCTGGCATTACAGCGACGAGCGCTGGAACATTGATGGCTCCCCCTCCACCTCCTGCCATGCCTGGTTGCCCGCCACCTCCACCTCCACCTCCTGCCATCCCTGGTTGTCCCCCACCTCCACCTCTTGTAGCCCCTGGCTGCCCGCCCCCACCAGGGCTGCCAGGCCTCTCAGCAACAGATGGCCCCTCCCAGGCCAAGAAGAAGAGGACGGTGAAGCTCTTCTGGAAGGAGCTGAAGCAGCTGGATGGCACTGTAGGGCCAGGCAGGTTTGGCCAGGGGACACTGTGGGCATCCCTGCAGAATGTCGAGATCAATGCTGCAAAACTGGAGCATCTCTTTGAGTCACGGTCAAAGGAAGTGCCGGCTTCAAAGGTACCAGCGGGCACCCATCGGCCAAGGGGACTTCAGGGGTGGGAGGAAGGCTGTTGGTTCCTGTGGGGACCCTCAGCATGCACTGTCACCTTTACCCTATGCCAAGGATGGGTACCGGCAGCCCAGAGGCTCAGACGGTGAGGGGCAGTGCACAGGTTTGGCTCACCATGGGGTCCGTGATCGACTCCCCGTGTCCAAGATGAGCTCCTGAGCCCTTTGCCTGGCTGTCCCCACCCATCCTGTCCTCTTTGCAGAAAGCCGTGGATGGGAAGAAGGTCGTGGTGGTGCTGGACCCCAAGAGGAGCAACGCCATCAACATTGGCCTCACAGTGCTGCCACCCGTCCACATCATCAAGACTGCTGTGCTCAACTTTGACGAGTTTGCAGTCAATAAGGAAGGGATTGAGGTGAGCACAAGAGAAGCTCAGCCCCTCTGAGGCCCTCATGCGGGTCGTTTCCCTGGCCTGGAGACCTCCATGCTGTGATGCCTGGGGTGACACGTCCCATGATGACATGTCTGGAGTCTGACATATCCCTCTTTCCCTGCCCTAGAAAATCCTGACCATGGTCCCGACTGAGGAGGAGAAGCAGAAGATCCAGGAGGCCCAGTTGGCCAACCCTGACGTGCCCTTGGGCTCTGCAGAGCAGTTCCTGCTCGCCCTGTCTTCCATCAGTGACCTCACGGCCAGACTCCAGCTCTGGGCCTTCAAGCTGGACTATGAGAGCCTGGAGCAGGTAGAGAGCCATGTACCCCATCTCCCCTCTGCCCTCCCCCTGCTGCCACCTCAGCAGTTCTAAGTGCTGAGCCAAGCATGTTCCTGGTGGGGACCAGCCATCTCCAGGCATGGGAGGTGCCATCCTGGCTGGGGACAGGCTGCAGGTCCCCAGCCAAGGCAAGCATGGGCTCGAGTTGACCAGGGGGTGGTTGTCCTCGTGGGTGAATGCTGAAGTTCCCAAGGGAGGGGGTGGCCAAGGGGTCTCACCTGCCTCTCTCCTCACCCAGGAGATTGCAGAGCCGCTCTTTGATCTGAAGGTGGGCATGGAGCAGCTGGCCAGAAATCACACCTTCAAGTGCATCCTGGCCACGCTGCTGGCCATGGGCAACTTCTTGAATGGTTCCCAGGTGAGGAGCAGGGTGAGGACCAGCCATGGTGCAAGGGTGTACCCAGGAGGGACCATGGGGAGCCTGGGACAGTGCCTGAGGCTGGGTGGTGCTGGCGGGGTCTGCGGAGTGGAGTTCTGCTGGAGGAGGGATGGAGAGTCCATTGTGTTTCAGAGCAGAGGCTTTGAACTGGGCTACCTGGAGAAGGTCTCGGAAGTGAAGGACACGGTGCACCGGCAGTCCCTGCTCTACCATCTCTGCCAGATGGTGGTAGAGAAGTTCCCAGAAACCACTGATCTCTACTCGGAGATTGCCTCCATCACCCGCTCCGCCAAGGTGAGGCAAGGCAGGTGACACCCGGGCAAGGACAGGGCGTGGGTCCCGTGGCTGCCCAGCTCCACCAGCGTGGCCAAGGGCTGACGTCTCACTCTTCCAGATCGACTTTGAAGAGCTGGCCAACAGCCTGGTGCAGCTGGAGCGGAGGTGCAGGGCCTCCTGGGACAACCTGAAGGTGATTGCCAAGCACGAGACCAAGCCGGTGCTGAAGACCAAGCTGACAGAGTTCCTCAAGGACAGCACCCAGCGCATCGTCGTCCTGAAGGTGGTGCACAGGCGCGTCCTCAACAGGTTGGTGGCTCGAGGTCCTGGGGACCAGGAGCCCCACGGTCCTGCTGGTGGCCCGCCACGACTGACATTCCCATAGGTTCCACTCCTTCCTGCTGTACCTGGGGTACCCGGCGAGCGCGGCGCGGGACGTGAAGGTGACTCCCATCTGCAAACTGCTGCGGGAGTTCGCCCTGGAGTACCGCACGTGCCGCGAGCGCGTCCTGCAGCAGCACAAGAAACGCGCCGCCCACCGCGAGCGCAGCAAGACCCGCGGGCGGCTCATCACCGAGGTACGGGGGCACTGAGGTACAGGGGCACCGAGGTACAGGGGCACCGAGGTACGGGGGCACTGAGGTACGGGGGCGCTCGGCCATGTGCCAGCAGGAGGGGATGCCTTCCACACCCCCGACACCCACCTCTCCTCCCGCCGCAGACCGAGAAGTTCTCTGGCATCGCCGAGGCTGTTTTGCCGCCCGCCGTGGTGTCCAGCAGCCCCAAGGAGCAGATGGAAGCGGGTCACGAGAGCATGAAGAGCGTGCTGACCTCCCCCGTGGATATCCCTGCCCGCCGCAGCCGGGCCAGCCAGGGTAGGAGCAGGGGATGGCAAATGCATTCAAGGCATGCCTGGCTGGCTGGGCATGGCTGATGCCTGCATCCTCACTGTCCCTGTGCAGGAACAGGGCATTCCACCCCAACCCAGGGCTCCTCAGCCCAGGAGGATGTTCCCAGCTCCCCAGACGATGCTTCGGATGAAATCATGGACCGGCTGGTGAAGTCGGTGACTCACAATGCCAACCCCCGGCCCTGCACCAACAGGGAGCGCAGGAGGTCCCGTGGCAATAGGAAGTCCTGTAAGTTCCATCACTGTCCCCTGCCCTGTCCCATCTCTGTCCCCATGCACTGGCCCTGTACTCTGTCCCATCTCCATGTCCCTGTCCCATCTCAGTGTCCCTGCCCAGATGCTTTTTCCCACCTCTGTGTCCATGTCCCCTTTCCATCTCCCATCTCTTTGGCCTTGTCCCAGTGCCCTGTCCCATCTCTATATCTCTCTTCCTATGCTCTACCCAGTCCCTGCACTGTCTCATCTCTGTCCCTGTCCTCGTCCTCTGTCCCATCTCCACGTCTCTGTGCTCTGTCCCCGTGACTTGTCCTGCTTCTGTGTCCTTGTTCCCACACCCTTGCCTGGCTCCTTCCCCACGGGCCACCAATGACCTGCCGTGCTGAGCCCACCAGGCCACAGCAGGATGTACCCTGAGACCAATCCATGCCACTGCACCCCATTGCCACTCTCCCCAGTATGCCAGGGCCGCCCTGTCTGTGCCCCTGGCACCCAGTGCTGCCCGTGCTGCCAGTGCCACACTCTGCTCCCCTCGCAGTGCGGCGGACGCTGAAGAGCGGGCTCAGCGACGAGCTGGTGCAGGCGCTGGGCCTGGGGCGGGCGCCCGGCATGGACGTCTGAGGGGGCCGAGAGGGCTCCTGCTGCTCCCCACCGCCAGCAGCCCCAGGGCAGGACGTGGTGGCAGCCCCCGTGGCACGCTCCAGGACTGGCACGCTCCTCACCTTTGGTCTTGCCTCACTTTTCGCTCCCGGCCTCCAGCTCCCAGAGGTGCAGGCAGCAGGAGGGTGGTGATGCCCCAGAGCTGCTCTGCGGTGACTGGAATGGAGGATGCTCGGCACTCGTGCATGGAGGCTCAGGGTTCATCTTCTCAGCAGTATTATAGGGGTCAAGGGGCTGGACCCAGACCCACCCTGGGACCTGGGTCTGGCCCGTGGCCGCTGTGGCAATAAAATGATCTGACATGCTGCCAGCGTCCCTTGTCCCTGTACCTGAGAGGCCACAAGGATATGGTACTGCCCCCTGGACAAGCCAGTACCCCTCCTCCTGCATCCTCAGCCCTGCTGCCTGGGGCAAGCACTCAGCCAGCCCTGTGGCTTGCAGGCACCACTGTCCCTCTGCGGACAGCGCGGTCCCCTCTGTGCCGGGACAGCTCAGAACCTTTCCAGAAGGAGCAAGGACTGCTGCCAGGCTCAAGGCTGCACACTCAAGGGCAAGAGCAGCAGCTCGAGCACAAGGCCACGGCACAATAAAATCATGTCTCACCTCATCTTTCCCTTACAAACCTCTCCTGGGGGGTTTTAGCCAGACCCGGCCCTGGGTAAGAGGCAGGGTGGTTGTTCCCCTCCGGGAGCAGGTCCTGGGCACAGTAGCCATGTTGCAAGCCTCGGAAACATTCCCTGTGCTTGGCAGAGACAGGCTACCTGGTGCTGTAAATGCAGCAAGGGCAGCATCCATCTGTCCCCATGGGGGACTGGGAGATGTCCCTGCCACCTCCTGTCCCAGCGTGGCTCATGCCATGCCAAACACAGATTAAACCCCACAATGGGTGCTGGCTGCAATGCTCCCCACAGGTCCATACCATTCCTGAGCATCCCCCTGTGCTTTGGGCACTGTCCCCCATGGTAGAGGCACTTGGGAATGGTGTCGTGCCATCCATCACGGCGGCTCCTCCTCGGCGCTGCCCTGGCCCTGCCTCCAGCCCTGAATCCCGCACAGCAGGTCTCAGCGGCTTTCAAGGAATGAAGAAAAACTCCACCGGGCAGGGCAGCTTCCCCCTCTGGGCTATCTCTGCCCAGGGTTGTCCCTCTCCCACGAGGCTGGACATGCCAGTGGTCTCGGAGGTGCTGGGCAGCACCAGCCTGCCCCAGCTCGTGGCATGTCTGAGATGTTCCTGGGTGGCTCTGGGAACAGCCAGATACCACACTAAGAGCTGCAGGTGTCCCAGACGTGCCCCAGGATGTCATTTGGCTGTCCTGCCCTCTGGGTGCTTGACTTGGGGCTGCAAAGAGAGAACAAAGAGGTTGTGATAGGCAACACTGAGCCACAGCAGGAAGCAGAAAGGGATGGGAAAGCATCTTCCTGAACGCCCGCACCTGCCCCAGGTATCTGAAGTGACATTACACCTGTGACAATCCCAGGAGCGTTGCTCACAAGGGCCTTGATGGGGGCAACTGAGGCAGGGTGCTGGGGAACGTGTCCCCCTCTGGGTGGTTTGGTGGCACTTGGGGCAGCTTTGTCCTCAGCCAAGGCCTCTGCCAACCCATTTGGGTTTTTCCACTTTTTTTTTTTTTCCCAGCCTTGGTGATATTTCCAGGATTCCCAGCCCAGCCCCGGGCACACGCTGCCCTTGAGCGGCGCCTGAAGTGCTTGGCTTGGCCGCGGCACCAGTGGCTTATGCCAAAAATACAACGGGCAGGGGCGGCCCCCCGGGAAGGAGAGGGGGTGGCGGGATGCCGGAGGGGCCTCTGCGAGCCGAGGCAGGTTCGTGGCAGTGACACGAGGCTTGGTGGGGACCTGGGGCACACGTGGACTCGGGCAGATCAGCAGAGCTGGGGAGCTGCACCCCCGGCTGACTCCTCGGGGTGGGAGGAGGTGACCCTGCCGGAGCATCCCGCGGCTCCCAGCATCCCATGCCTCCCTCCGTCCCCATCCCTGCGTGGCTCCCAGGGCCACGAGCTGTGTCCTGCTGCCACGAGGGGGCACGGCGGCCACGCGCACGGCGGGGACACCCGGGACACGCTCCGTGTCCCGCCGCTCTGCCTCTGCAGACGCTCGCCGCCGGCCCTCAGTTCGCTGTTCCCCCCCCCTGCCTGGCACCCGGGGGGCTGCACCCTGCTCCCCCTCCCCCTCGAGTCATCCTGCCTCTTTCATGTGCCCGGTGGAGTGACAGCCACGTCCTTGGTCCTGGCTGTTTGTCTGGCTGGCGAGGACAGGCTTCTGTCCCCTGTGCTCAGATGTGTCTCCAGTGCTTGTCCCTGGCCCCCATCCTGCCCTGGCCCCCTTCCAGGCAGGGGACAGCGAGGACGAGCCTGGCTCCACTTGTTGTTGCATTTACCCTCTTCTGTAGCTCCCACCCTTACTGTGATGGAAGATGTCCCCTGCCTTCTCCATTCCATCCTTTCCATGGGACTGTCCCAGTGCAGGGTCCTGTTTGCTGGCACACCCAGAGGTCAGCTCCAGCCTCATGCTACATGGGCATGTCCCCAGAGCCACCCCCAAGCTCAGGGTGGGGGACTGCCTGTGGTCCTGGCCTCCTGGTTGCCACGAATCCCCACCATCTTGTGTGAGAAGCACAATTCCCACCAGGAATAGCACAACCTCACCTCTGTTCCCAGGTCAGAACCATCCGGAACATTTCTTGCAAGCCCTGGGGCACCCTGGCCACTTCCAGGAGCATCTACCACCCCCAAATTCCTCCTCCTGTCTCAGCTGCAGGAATCCTCTACTCTGTGGCCCCAACCCTCTTAAGCAACTCCAGGCTGGACACACTCCATTCTGGAACCACCTTCCCCAGCAGGATGGAGGCGTGGGATGGGAACCAGGTCACAGCTGCTGTGTCCTACTGCCCTCTTCCCTGGGGGCAGAAGGAGCAGGATGTCACTTGGGGTGTGGCCCAGTCGGCTTCCCCTGGTATCTGTCTTGTGGCCAAGGGGGAGCCACATTTCTCGTCCCCACCACCCCAGTGTCGAGGTAGAGACCCTGTCATGGGCATGGAAGAGATGGGAGATGGGAAGGTGATGCTGGGCTGGCAAAGCAGGCCTGGCATGGGTACCACACAGGCCTCAGGAGAGCACCAGGCATTAGTGGAGCTGGAATCATTTTGGAATATGACCATTGCAGCACAGCCACACCAAAGGAACAAGGTCCCTCAGCCCAAAAGCAGCTCTGGTTCGGGGAACCAAGGTGCAGAGAGGCCAGATGGCAAAGGGGCTGCCAAGGTCGTGCAGGCACTGTGACACAGGGTCCCCAGCAGGGCAGGAGGTGAAGCCTCTCCCAAAGCCATGAACGCAGCTGGAAGCGGAGACGTGTTTTGTAAATACCTGGGGATCCTGCACAACCTGAAAAAACAAGTCAGAGGCAGGAATGTTCCGAAGACGAGGGGGTTTGGAAAAAGCCAGACCCGGGGTCAGGGCTTGGCTGGATGCTCCATGTTGGCAGCAAGGCTGTCCTGGGGAGCAGCCCTGGTACTCCCCAAAGGAGCTGCTCCAGCCACAGCACCCTGGGAGCAGGGAGGTCCTGCCCAGGCTGTGGGGAGAGGTTTGGGCTGTGCCCATCATCCAGCTGAGGTGTGTGGAAACCCCACAGATGGAGGATGAAAGCCTGGGGCTCAGGCTGATCCCACCAATGTGGCATCAGATGAAGGGCATCAGATGATGGGCACCAGTGGTCACCTTTGGTTTACAGCTTCAAAACATAAGGAAAGCCCCAAAAAAGTCTTCAGTCAAGTAAGTTGGAAACAAGGAATGGAAAATGCTGGGAACAAGGGGGAGAAGATCCCAGAACAAGGAGCTAAGGTGGCTCCATGGGCAGCTGTGGCTCAGGTTGGTCATGCCATGGGAAGTGCCTCCAGGCTGGGCTTTGTTAGATTCAGTTTCCATGCCCTGGATTTGGGAAAGGAACACGGGGATATTGTTGGGTGCAGGAAAGGCTTCCTGGAGCTGAGCCTGGCTTAGCTGAATCACAGCCACGGATCTGCACTCCCCAGAGGAGAAAGCCACGATAACAGAGTTCCCACTGCAGCGGCAAAGTTCAACCAGAAGCAGTAGAACTGCCCAAGTTCAGTGGTAGGACACAAATATTTGGTGCCAGGAGTAATTAATCACTGTCGTCTGCAAGACCCTCTGGGTCAAAATGAGGTTAATTCCAGGCGGTGCAACAGCCTTTGTCATCCCTGAACTGTCTCTGGCCCCAGATGCCAATGGGCTCCAGTGTCCCAAATCTTCAGCGTGAAGAAGGATGAACCCACGTCCATCCAAAGGTTGTAGAGGACATGGTGTGGGACAGGAGGAGCCCTGTGTGCTATAGTCAACAAGGCACATCCCCTCTTCTGTGGGTTTGATGGTCCATGGTAGGTACCCAGCCCACAAGAGACATCCAAGGGGGTTCCAGCCCCATGGTCCCCTCTCCTGAGACAACTGCTGCCAGGGAAGGACTATACCTCCCGGCCTGTGTGAGGAAACAAGTGCTGGCACAAATCTCCATCAGCACTGAACAGACAAAAGTGCCCTGTTAGGTGCTCACTCGCCTGGGTGGTGTTTCCTGAGGAGATAATAGCCCTGGAAGAAGGACTTGCTGTTTTGGAGAAGATTAAGTACCTGTGGGAGCAGCATGTGGATGAATCACAACCCTCATGGGCTTAGAGCCCCTGGAAATGGCTCATGGCACTTTGAAAACAATGTCGTGAATCTTCTGCAGATCAGATTAGGGAGTGGAACAATTATCTCAAAACCTGTTAGTCATGGGAGGCTCCAGGAGCTGGAGGAACAGCCTAGGGCAAGGGGAGCACTAGGAAGATGTGTGTCCCCCCTCCATGAGCAGCCCCAGGAAGGGTGTGGGAGGTGGCTGTGGTCGAACCAGCCCCGTTTCCCCTGCAGAGGTTGAGCTGTAATTAGCAGAACGGGTACGGAAGAGCTCAAGTAGGTCAAAAGGTAATGGGGCTATCGCCGGTGTTTCCTCACAGCAGGGCCCAGGTGGGAGGGAGGCACCCTCGGCGTTGAGCAATGGGCAGAGGAACAAGGGAAGGTCCACCAAGGTCACCCTGACCACACACCAGCCTTTGGGGGGAAAGCTGGGGAACAGCCAGGGCCAGCAAACGGTGCTGCTGGTCCAGCCCCACCACACTGGATTTCATGGTGAGAGCATCCATGGAGCTCTCTGAGTGCCACGACAGAGAACACCACGGCTGCCTACAACCCGTCCTGAGGCATCCCACAGGAAGGGCACCCTGAGACCATGTGTGAGGAGCT